ATTTCCGTCATCAAACACTGGGTCAGACAGGCAGCTTTGCCATCATTGGGTCCAAGCAGGACATGTCAAAAGCCAGTTCAAAGCTGATGGAGATAAATCTAGAAATTCGTATGTCCCTGCGTGCGGTACAGTCATACCAGCTTCTATCAAAAGCCAAACCCGTCACCAATATGGTGAGCACTGAGCTTTGAGCAGCTGCTATGGAGCAGGCCACAAACTTGAAGCACTGGACGTCTGAGGATCTTATCAAGCACCTTTCCATAATTACTGTATAGCTCACATGCTTTTTGACTAAACAGAACTTCGTGAAGAGGAGCATTCTCAAATGTGAGATGCATTAGTTCTGGAATGATGGGCCACATTGTTTAATACAGTGTGTGCAAGAGTGGAGCCGTTTCCTTTCCTCTTACATTACACACCTACCATCCAGAAGCAAAAGGGCTATCATGATGTAAAAAGAAGTTGCAATATGACCTCTGACCTATTGAGGCATTGGGTTAGAAGCAGGACATACAAATCTAGACTGGTCTATCTTGTCTAAAAACAGTAATTTGGTTCCTGGTCATACCAGAGTCAAAGTACCAGGCAAATGTACCATGACACTGAAATTCTCCAAAGAGATACTGGCATAAGAGGACTTCTAAAGACTTAGGAATGCCATTGAACTCTTTAATGTTTTGTTGGTATTTTTGTTTTATGTTTGTGTTTTCCTGCCTGGGCAGATGAAATGGGATGTGTGGTTCTATGAGAGGTGCATTTTCAAGGTATGATTGAGTGTACATATTGTGTCCGCGCATGCCTCAAAGAGTACTGCAACATTATTTTTGGATAAATTATTTTATTAGCTCTAACACCTCATAGCGTGTAAATGTTAAGACATGTAACTATTTTAAACCGGGCTTTCCCCCGGTGTTTCTAAAAGAAATAATATATCTTAACTGTATTAGTATGCTGCTCAGTTCTCTGACCAGCACATATGGTATAAATATTGATAACTAACCAAAAAGTAGCTACCTGCAGAGACTTTAAAATGTATATTTAGATATATGCTGCCAAACAGCGATTCTCATTAGAAGATAACTTATTTTATTCTGTATATATTCTAGAATCTCCGTATGGTGTAAATCCAGTATTTTCTTGTATATGTGTGCAATCAAATAGAATGATAGATGTACAGAGGCTCTGTGGATCCTTTTAATGACAGAAAGGCTGTGGCTCTTTGCCATTGAAAGGACCAAACAGTGAAATACACGGTGTGGTGAATACAATACATGTTCTATGGGGGTAGCTTAGAAATCCCTAACAAGAGAAGGTATTAAAGATCTTTTCTTACTTCATAATGTGTATATTATATATGAGCCCTTTCAGTGTCAGAGGGTTATCCTATATATACCTGTGTCACTGACTAAAGTCAAGGGTGGGCTTTTGAAAACCAGAGGACAAGCTACCAAATAAAAAGCCAATCGCTGCATTATGAACTAATGAAGACGTAATTCTGTAGCACAAAATAAACAGGTTCCTGTAAAAGCCAACATCATTTTTTTTTTTTTGTAAAGAAAAAAATATGAATGTAATCAAATGATTCCTGTTATCTAAAAAGGAATACTCTGCATTTTTATACACCTCTTTTACCCACTGTGATTAAACGCAAAAACAAAAAAAAAGATAAAAATCTCTATTTTGTTACTTACATCTATGTATTATTTAATATAAAACATGTTTGACTCTCCCTTTATCTGGAAGCACACTCAGTGACTACATGTGAAGTGTTTCATATGTAAAACCTGCAAGCCTCTGAAAGTGAGAGCGTTGGATCGGAAGAATTTAAAAAAAAAAAAAAAATGTCCTGTGTGCTCTACGAGGAAAAACAGGCTGCAATCAAGAAGCTGAATCACTCTGTGATGTGATGGACACTATGGAAGGACCAAGGAATTAACATACATACATGTCTTAACAGTCATTGTGGCACATTCACTAATAACTCGATTTTCGTGTTCCTAAGGAACATGACCTATTTTGAAATGTAAGCGGTTTACTTAAAGGTGCATTAGAATTTTATGTCACCTCACCAGCCCTATTTGTTAAAATAAAGCTACATAATAGAATATTTTTATTTTGGCACCATAATGTTTATAAATCACCCACATTGGAAAATGCCATAACTTTTATTGGACTACATGACATTATCGCAAAGTGATCAGTCTGTGGAGTTTTACATGTTTGTTTTTGTTTCGTTCTATCCCAAACGGAGTATTGGGCAACTCTATGTAAAACAGATTGCACTGTAAGAATACTACATACTTACAAATAGTAAGCTCTTTGCTATGGATCTCTGAAATGTCATTTAGTTTTGCTGTCTCCTTTAACCTTGGTTTGTTTTTATTATCTAGGTCGGTTCTTAACTAATTATTTTATTTTTATTTTTTTCTTGGGGCTCCACTTACATGACACATTCATTTGGAAAGATTAGTCTAGTGACTATATCATCAATTAGACTATTCCCATTTTCATTGGAATCTCATTTGTATTGGTAATGCATTGCATTTACAGCAATACTAGTGTGGACAGCTCCATGGGACAGGATACTAATTTGGTTTCAATCAGTGTGGCCCTTGAATGAGGATCCAATCTTGCCTTCTTACCCAGATGATAGCTGAACTGTTTAGTTTGTAAATGTATCCAGGTTAACTACCCATACAACCGTAACTATTAAAGCATTTAAGTCAAACCGAATTTATGGCACATATGCAATGATGAAGTGCTGGGATGGCATAGTTTTATATTCTGATGCCTGAGAAGTGGCATGCTACTAGTGCTTTGATTCAAATCATATAAATCATTTAATTCCAAAATTCTCATTAATTACAGTCTGTATGCCAAGATGGATATTTACCGTCTCCACTACCAGTTGTTTTGCAGTAGAAGCAGTATCAGATTCTTAGTACTTGTGGTGTCCTGGAAAGTAATGTTTAAATGTGTTTTTGTTGGAGTATACAGAGCACATTAATGAAAAAAACAAACAAAAAAAAACTACAACAAAACATTGTGGATGCATATTTATTTTATTAAGTGTCCAATAATAAAAAGATAGTGTTGTAAATAACAATTCTGAATATGTAACACTTTTTACCCACATGTTCTCTAATTCTCACGCAAATACATAATCCCATATGCACTCACTTGTGCACTATGTATATGCTATATGTTGCCACATTACCATGATATTGCCCATACCCTAATTACCTCATATTGCACCCATGTGGTCTCTTTAGACCAGGGGTGCCAATGAGGTAGATCCCCAGGTGTAAAAGAACTACACCTCCCATGATATGTTGCATGCTTTAGAATGACAAAGCATCATGGAAGCTGTAGTTTTAAAACCTCTGGGGGTCTACGCTTTGGGCACCCCTGCTTTAGACACACATTCACACTCTGATACTTGTACACATTGATGCTCAGACAATGCAAGACGTGTGTGTATTTGACGAAGTGTGCCTCACAGTGTATATTGGGACATGCGTATGTGTCTGGCATTGTGGATCAGTGTATATGCCTGAGAGGGAGTATCCTTGTGAATGCATATCTGTGTCTAACTGTATGTGTTTAGGAGAGTTGCTTCATCAGGCTAGCTCCAGCTGTTGCTGAACTACAAAACACTCTATCCTCAACCAGGGAAACGCAGGCTGTGGATCACAGGAGGTTTATTTACCAATTGTTGAAGAGCTGACAATTTCTGACTGATGCATTTGTTGAGAAATTACAGTTTGGGGAGATTGAAGAAAATATGCAAACCATTGTAGCAATCACAAATACAAAACTCACTGTCCTATTAACAGACAACATACTAAAATATTTATGCAAGTCATATTTTTGATTATCTTGAAATGAGTCAACAAATGCTTTGAACGTCGGCTTAGAGCTCATAGCATTATTATTCCAGAAACATGGCAGCATGGATATTAATTTGTTGCGAGGTGGAAGAAGAATCAAGTGAATAAAACCTATTGTCAAAACCTATAAACCATCATGTCACTAATTCAGTCTTCTGTGCATAAAGTATATCTAATTTGCAGATCTCTGTAAATAAAAAACAGTAATAGCCTCTAGGGAAAGGAATGCATCCATTAAGGCTTTTGTCAAATCTGGTTCAAGTGCATACTTTGTTAAACAAAACCTACCCTCCTTCCAGTGCTTTCCAGACCAGCAGGATTGCCCACATTGGCAGAAATGTTTCAATAATGGTCTTAAACCTATGAATAGCAGTGTGTTATCACTACAATCTGCTCCTTAGACGTCTACTTCTGCCATGGAATTCTATTGCAGGGCTCTGTAGAGTGTTTAAGTGGAACAGTCTGCACTAGTGAGGGTGCCATGGCTTATTTATGTCCTTTAACCCCTTAAGGACCAAACTTCTGGAATAAAAGGGAATCATGACATGTCAGACATATCATGTGTCCTTAAGGGGTTAAGGCGACCATTAATCCTGCACAGTGTTTTGCCGGGAGAGAAGATATGCCAATTCTTTAGAGTGCAATTCTTATTTTATTGCATCAAAACATTTTGCTAGCATGAATGGAGGTGTTTGCATGACTATATGGATGAGGTTATTTAGATGCTAAAGAACATTATAAATATGATGTCCTATCGCATATGGACAAAATCTGGTTAAAATTACCGAATTCTGATGGCATTGGCAATTTTCAGATTTACTAAAGCCAATTCTGGTCAGAACTTGTTTGGATTGAGTGGATTTAAAGCAATTTTATGGATGAATTCAGTGTTTGTATAGGATTCAGATGCAAAAGCACCAATTTTAATCCAAGGTATAGGATTCAAATGATTCTCACAGCACCGGTTTTAACAATTCAGATCTGAATGCATCTAGAAGAATGCACATTAGCTAATTTGGTAAACCAGTGGTGTCAGACTTTTGTGTCTGGGGACTAGTTGCACACATGAAGTTGGCAGCCTGGAACTTTGTTCTGGACTGTCAAAGGTCAATTCAGTTCAAAATTCATATCTGTCATCTGTACACTGCTGACACAGGTTCTATGCTTCTTGCAGGCTCCCGCTTGTGTCTCCTCTCCTTCCATCAGTGCAGCCGCCTCTCTATACTCTGTTAATTTTTACCTTCCTCACCATCTCTCCATGCCAGCTAAGGGCACAAATATGCGCTCAGACTGTTAAAAGGTCCTCTATTTTATTTGACCCTGTGAGGTGTGTTGAGCAGGGCCTGGCAATGAATTTCAGGTGAGTTGTAGCAGAGTTTATTTTAGCATTTGGGGACAGACCTAACGAATAATGCCGATCAGGCATCATTCAGAAAAGGAAAATAAAAAAAGTTGGTGTTACACTCCCACTATACTTTATATATCTTTGGGGGTCATACTCAGTGTATTCATCTCTGTTATTCTGTTCACATGGTTACCTGAAAATTCCAGTTACTTGCCGATACAATCAGGGTTGCTAACTATGTTATGTTTCCTGTTAAGCAATTTTGGTATAATTGTAAACCATAGGAGAGAAATCTCATTTTAACTTGTAAATAACTTTTTTTTTTTAGTTTTTCCTAGTCTATTACAAATATTTTAATATAAGAAAGTTTTTTTTTTTTTTTCATAAAAGGTGCAGCAGTTTGCCATTTGATTAATGCAACATATTATTTTACCTGATATCAGGCTTGTGTATTAATGTTTTTCAACCAGGACAATACTAATCCCTTTAAATCTGCCCCTGAACGAATCGATCCTTCCAGGATTTCTATGGAGTCTTATTCATTTGCTATTTGGCCTTATATCATTACTAATGGTGCAATAGAACCACTTGTTAAGATGCTCTGCTTGTAAGATCCTATCACTGATATTGTATAGGGCTATACAACTCCTGATACATTTTAGCATGTCTGCATCATTATTTGTGTGGCATACAAATAGTGGAGCACCACTCTGATTACATATCTTATTGCTAAGAGGATTGTAGTAGAGGGGAAATGTAGAAGTGAGCTCCCCTATATCCAATGGCTAAAATAATATTTTCCACTTTCTTGAAAACTTATGAGCCAACTTTTAAAACCTACCACACTTCCTACCAAGACAAACCAGTATTACACTAGGATCACAGCTGTATTAGCCAAATGTAATAGAATACTTAGCCAAGCTGGGCTCCATTAACCAATTCTATGCCAGGAGTTTCAAAAGGAACACTAAACACAACCACTAAAGCACACTGCTCGACCTCTGCAGTCTAGCGCTAATTTTAGGAGTTTCCATTAGTTCTCCTGAGCCAAGCCGTTGGGCAGCAAGGCCTTCTCAGTGGATGAGTGACTAAGCCGTGCAATTCAGTTTTAATATTTACATTGTGGTGACACAGGGTATGCCTGGCACTGTTCCAATAGTTTATAAAAAGGATTTCTGCCCCTTGGGACAGTCAGGGACGTTTCGTCCTGCTTCCACTAGATCCCCTGTGCTAACAGAAGGGGCATGCGCACTTTATTTGAGCTAAGCCTCTGGTAGTCTCTTCCCAGCTGTGGAATGTCCCTTTAAGGTAACCTAAATTGGGCCCTGTGGAATTGTAATCCTTTACTATAGAGAGACTTTCCAGCACTCCCTCTACACCCCCACTGTATAGGTACATCCCATCTTAGCTACAGAAGGTACACACGGAAATAATGAATGCATCATGTTTTTATTTTAGGGTGAAGGATATTGCACTTAAACTAGTTTGAGTTAACAGACTGAGAAACAGGCACAAGATAGTGTACTGTACAGGCAGTTTGCCTTAGCATTAGGGCTCTTCCAAGTCTAAAAGAGGATGATTTAACAAAACCTTTTTCAAAGTTAGGATGAATATGGTGCCAGAAAACCACTGGAAATATTCCAATGGCTTCTGCTCAATAAAAGTTGTCCTGTATTTTTAGCCCTTCAAAGGTAATACAGTAAGTTAAAAAGAAACATTCCTGTTGCACAGAAAGGGGGTAGTGTTTACCTTGAAGTGGCCGTTGTACAGAGTGTCATGCTGCCAACCACTAGAGGGACTTCCTCTGCACTGGCCAAGCAAGCCTGTTATGTGATACTTCAGCACATATGAAAACACAGTCCCAGTGTGGCTTTATAAGGAACTTTGGCCCATGAACCGCGAAAGCTCTGCCTCCTCAATGATGCAGTTATAGGGAGCCAAGTAAAACCTTTATTTTATCATTAGGGCAATCAGGAGGAAATAATGGAGGAATACTAGTGTTAGTAGTACAGGTTTCTATTCCCAATTCTATATCGTGTTTCTTTAAAGGGAAACAAACTTGTTTTCCTAGCACTATAGCTTCCCCTCTGTCAAGGCGCCTGCCTATTCCGCATCCCCGTGGTGGAGAAGGGGTTAATTACCCATTCTGTCACTTACCTGGGTCCAGTGCCGGCACAGCTCTGCCCACACTCCTCCCCAGTCAGCTGAGGAGACCTAATGCGCACTTGCATTAGGATTTTCCCATTGAAAAGCATTGTTCAATGCTTTCCTAGGGGCTTTTGGGTGATGCTGGACTTCCCCATACATAGTGTGAGGATGTTCTGAGTCATTTGGGTGACTAGAAGTTGCCTATCCATGTAGAGGTCCCTTTAGGAGCTGTCTGGTAAACAGCCACTAGAGGAGAGTTAACCCAGTAGGTAATTATTGCAAGGGTGATGGGAGTTTGCACATGCTTAAAAAAGGGACAGTGTAGGCACAAAGAGGAAGTCAAAGTTCATCTTTTGACACTTGGGATTGATGGGGCAGTCCTAGAGTTGCAGAAGTGAACTCTGAAAAAAAAAAGTGGCAAAGAGCCTGGTTACAAACAAACAATCATATACAATTGTGCACATGCTTCCCTTTTATTACTAGAGTCCAATAATAGAATAAGGACAACAAAAAGTAGATCTTGGAAAGCCTTTAAATACAACTGATTTTTAAACAGCATATACTCCCTTTACGCTGGCCCCTAGCCACTTAAAAATCAATCTAATTTTATAGAAGTTTTATGTGGCAAGCAGGCCTGAACTGGCAATCAGGCAAATGCCCAGTGGGCTGTGATGACCATGGGCCGAGGCCAGCCCTTACAGAGCAGGCACCAACTACACTGCATGGCTGGTGAGATCTACACCTCAATTTTCTTCTCCCCAGCTCCGCGATTCAGAGCATTGCCGCAGGTTAACAGCAGGGCTCTGACATGTAGCTTGCAAGAACAGATATCTAGACTTGCAGTTGTGGAGGTGCAGGGATCCAGACAGCACCAGGACTTTCAGTGTCCCTCTCTTCCCAAGGAGAAGGCAATATAGACACACTGCCCAATTTTCACACATACCAGACAATTTCATATGCATAGTATGGATCCCTTAAGAACTCCTACAGAATCAACCACTTCTGAATATGCTAGAATCACTACAGACAAAACATCCCTGACACACAAACCTCACTCTAGCCACCAAATGCATGCACAGTACTCTCTCCTGGCCTCCCACTTATGAGTCACCAGGGACATGTCACAAGCAGACCGCACATGGCAATTTTTTCCCCCCCATTCCACTCTGGTGGAAAGAGTTAGTTATACAATTGTTAATGGAATAAGCAAAACAACCACAGAAAATTTAAAATGTGGTCACTCACAATCCAGGCACACAGTCTACCAGAAGGAAAATATATGCATATTGTAGTTTTCTTCTTTATTAAACTTTGGATTTACAGAACTCTCAATTCTACTACAGGCAAGGCAGCAATACTTGCATTATGCGGATAGACTTTTCTTACATAAAGTGAAAGTTTGAGGTATACTATATAGGATGCTATGGTAAAGGTTTATTAGTTATACAGTCTGCCTATTTGTTTGCTCCAAAATGAAAGTTAAACAAAAACATGGATCGTTGCCAAAATAACGACAGCAGGACAGGAACTTGTTAGGGGATTGGGTTAGATAATATATTTGAAGCTGAAGGTGCTATCACAAGACAACCTTTTGCCCTTGCATCTGCCACACAAATCCTGGCGATGTGGCCTTTTTGGGTCTACGTGGCGAAGTTTCACTGGACAGACACATCTGGTTTGCTTACAACTCTAGAAAGTGTGAATAGAAAATACAAAGTTACAACAGCTCCATTGTCAGATCTCATACCAGTTGTTTTAATATTCAGAAGGAAGGTACATGGCTTGGCCGAATATAAAAAAAATTGATCTATGTCTGATACATGGTCCATTAGGATTATATCAGTCTGTTATTGTATTCCATAACTAGTCTGTCATCCAAAATAGGTCATAAAAAGACAGATTCAAGTTTTTGCATTCTGCAAGTCGTAAACAGGGAAAATATATTTTGTGCAAATGTATTCCAATACTGAAACAAGTCATTTTTACCAGGTTCATGGGTTTTAGAAACGTTTGACTATCCCACCTAACATTGAAGGGAGGAGGATACCCTGAGCTACCCTTTGCAAGCATGTCATTTTCAGTAGACGTTTAAAGGGCAATGCAATATCATGAAGAGGTTTCCCTATTTAGATGAAGACACTTACTTGACACATTATGTCCTCCACTCTGTAAGGATTAAAGGACTTCTGACAGGTCCTACAAAACTGTTTGAAGTACACCTGCACCAAACATGGGAGAATAAAAAAAATAAATGTATTATATGCATCAGTTTTACAGAAAGCAGAATGTAGTCTGTGCTTACCTTGTTAGTACCCTGCACACACCATACATAAGCACTTTCCCATCGAATGTTGCAGTCTTTACAGTGGTAATAACCATATTTCTGTTCCAGGAACTAAAAAGTACAAGTCAAGATTTAAAAAAAAAAAGCCAGAAAACAGCAATGTTTATACTTGCTAGTTAACTTGCCTTTAGTGGTCATCTTCCTGAGAGCCACTTCGCCAAAATAGCGGTGTAAAAACTACACTACTGTATTTCAGTCTGATTGTCCCAGATTGGCAAAGTGGTTTTTTTTTTTTTACAGCACATGCGCAATAGCTTTCCAATGGGAAAACATTGGTTTGACTCAGTTCAATATCAGCCAGAGATGGAGTTTCCTTGCACTCCTTTTTGCACTGGGGCCTGCTTACCCAAAAGACTGACACTATAGAATTGGGAGCACACATTTGTATTGTACATGTTTTAGTTCACTACAATTGCATTGTGTGCAACCCTATTAGCAAGAAAAACAAAGTCTACAGTTTCCAATCAAGTGAACAAACCTGCTTTCTGTGTAGGGAATGCAAGAGACACACACAAACAAACAAAAAAATAATACACACACACAGGCTTCTCGTGCTCTAAGAACTAGAGTTTATGGAATATTCGAGTGGGCGTTCTCCATGACATGCTGAACCCTAATGTTACGATTTATGGAGTATAAGCAGACACAGTGTTGACCAGATTTAGAGGAGGGACACACCCTTTGATATTTTGGGGATCGTGTTCTAAACAGTGAGGTAACACCTAACGCGAGAATATAAGCCAACGATAGCCATGAACAGCCTAAATTGAAGGAGGTGGATCTCGGTGTAGCACCCGTGGACCCACACAGTACCTGGGGAGGACAATGAACGCACAGTATACCTTATGTGAAGGCGCCCTCTATTGCTATGTAGCAGCCTGTCCAGTGGGCATGGAAGATGGTTAGTAACAATGCCCAGCAGTTTGTTTAACATTACCTAATACTATTTAATGGGGACACAATAAAACTTCCCCCACTCACCTGGAACTTCACTCTAGTCTGCCCAGGAGAGGCTTCTTGCTGGACCTCAGGGCTCTCTTTAGGCTCCTCCTGGACCTGCTCTTGCACCTGGCTCTCCTCTGCTCTCGGCCTTTGTGGTTTGGGTTCTTCCTCTCTCTGGAGTTCCTCTTCTGCCTTCTCCTGGTCCTCCTCTGCCTTTTCCAGGTCTTCCTCTGGGAAAGCAGCCAGCCTCCCTGTAGCCACAGGGGAGTACACAGCCAGAGTCCTGGGGAAGCGCACTGCCTTGGTGGGTGAAGCAGGGCTGCCTTGGGTTTGGGGAGGTTGTGGTGGTTTCCTAATGGCCCCAAGCTTCCTCCTCAGAAGGGTCCTGGGGCCCAATGAGCATTGAACAGAGGCATCCTGCCTGGGATTTACCTGAATGCCAACATCTCTTGTATTCGCTTTCCTCAACCTTGGAGTGAGGTTAGGATTGACTTGAGACAAGATAGCCTTCAGCTGAGCCCTCTGGTAATTATCAAAGTACTCCCCAGCATCTCCATAATTAGTCAGATGATAATTTTTCTGCCTCCAGCTAACTCCCTTATTTTTAGGATTAAGATATCTGTAAGAATAAGGGTTATATGCTGAGTACATGTAGTTATCCATTGCTTCTTCTGTGAAGCTAGCCATAATGTGTGGCTACTTGTAGCAACCAGGTGTGTGTTTAAATAGTGGGTGGTCTGATTAACCCCTAAGGTGTGTATGGATTCTACCTGCCCTTCAAGTTTCTAATTTAAATACGCAAGAGAGAAAAAAACTGAGTTTTATTTACTAAAGTAAGTTCAAAGTGAATTACAGATTTAAGACCAGAGTAGCTGCACTGAAAGCAAAGCTCACTTAGAGAATGTTTCCATTTTGACTATTTTGTCCTTAATTGTGAAATTCACTTTGAATTCTCAACAAGTCATACTTAAGTGAATCCCATCGGTTTACTCTGGTAAATATTGAAAATGAATATTGAGTTTTACATACACCAAACTTTCCTTTAATAAATTACATCATCGTGCCCTCCTCACAAAGTATTCTGGCTTGGGGATTACACACAAAAGCAGACATTGTTGGCAATTTCACTAGAACCTTTCATGTTTTGGATTCAAATACCCACACTGGAAAAATTCACCAAATTGAATTTTATATTTTCACTTTTTTTTGCCCTAAAATATGAAGCTTCCTTTCCAGCCCTCAATAAATGCTTCTCTAGTGAATAACTCCATTTGTGGTTTCTGATGTATGGCCACACACTGAATAGACAAAATATGAGCTTTCTAAATTAGTGGACAGGTACACGCCCCAGAGTTTTAACCCTTTGATTCCCTACCAATTATTTTTAATTCTAGGCATTCCCTAGTTGTGTAACAGATTCTTGCAATATCTATCTCAAACCCTGATTTGTCAGACTCCCATACATGCCAATGTCATCCATTTAACCTTCACCCTTTATTCAGGAAAAGTCTTCGCGCTAGATTTTTTTCAAAAAATTATTGCCGTTCAGATTTTAGCCCTAAGTCTTGAAAAACAATCATTTACTATGAATACAGTGTGGGAAGGTCTTCCATAAACTGTGAATGTCAGGAAAACATTTCCAAATATGCTATGTTTCCGGCTTAAATATTTAGGCCTAAAATTAGAAATGACCCAATGAGTTCCTACGAATTCACGGGTTAGTGAATGGTTTCCCGGCGGAAATGCATAACATTTAAATTATTTTTTAAAGAGTGTATTCGGTAGACACTGAATTGTAAAACAAACGGCAAAATGTAGACAAAATGGCTGAAGTAGAAAAATAACTATAATCACAATTTAGCTTTTGTTGACTATATTTTGCAATTCAATATTAATGTTTATGTTTCAATTGACAGAAATACTAAAAAATAATCACTTTTTCAAATGTTTCTTATACATCTAAATTCTGCTACAAAGTGTCATAAATACCCACTTTTCTTATTGTGTTGGCAGCTATATGTGACAATACCAACAAATTTGCAAGTCACAGTTTAAAAATAAATGTATAAAAGCTAAATTAAACTAAAAGGCTTCTGATTTGTAATTGGGGTTTGCTTAAATTCACTGTTTACTCCAGACAAGCAGCAAGATGAGTGCCAAATAGCCTAATTAGAGAAATACCTGCAAATTGTGTTTGTTTTTTGAACCTCCCTTGTCAGTCTACTGTTTAGAGAATAAACCCCTCTTGTTTGCATTGTGTTCACTTTGCACCTTCTGTCTATCAAGTAATTGTACAGAATGCTTTCAATTATTTATTCTGTTTTGCTGAAATAGTGGTTGCTCCAAAGTGGACTGGAGAAGCAGAATTTTTTTCCACAGCAGTCTGAGGACTATCACTGGCCCAGAGGGCAAGGTAAGAAAAGCTTTACTAACATTTGTTTTGTTTTACTTTGTATTTACATTTTTTCCCCTGTAGTAGATATTTTGGGTTATGCGTCAAACAGTGGTATATATTGAGGTCATCTACAGGCAAGCATCTGAACTTTGAGCATTTTGTTGTGATGTCTTTTTATTTATTTGGCACAAACACATTTACAGTCACTTTGACAATTTATTGGATACCAGAGGAGTTGTGTCACTGGTTCAGAGGCCCACCATTGCAATAAATGTTAGCTTGACTCTGGTTTTAGTGTCACTTTATTCTACAGATTTTCTGTGCCTCTCAATCCGTCAGGAGAGAGATTTATTTTTCCAGGCACCAAAAAGACGGTTGTATATTTTGAGGACTGACAAAAAAAAAAAAACAGCTCAGTCCACCACATCTTGAAAATCACAGTTGTAAATGATGGAATGGTAACTCTTTAACCCTTAAGGACACATGACGTGTGACATGTCATGATTCCCTTTTATTCCAGAAGTTTGGTCCTTGAGGGATTAAAGAGCCACTCAAGGTACCATAATACAGTGAAGTGGTTATGGTGTCAGGATGTTCCTTGCGCTTTCTTACCTTAAGGGGAATCAACAGAGGAAGCTGCCGCAGAGCAAATGTGCATGGTCTTTGCAATTTGTGGGGTTAAACCATACCTAAAAAGTGTAACCTCAAATTTTAAACCAGTGTGGCACTCTGGGAGAGAGAAATGGAGGCCCAATTCCAACCCTGGTACACTGTGGTGGAAGTTCGCTGCCCCAAAATAAGTAGCAATAGTAGAAAATCCATGGTTACCCTGTGGATTTTTACTATTAAAAAGTTTAACCCTTATGGTGAGAGAATGCCGGGAACTCCTGGCACCCTAACAACTAAATTGTGATGCAGCTATTATGGCGCTTAGAGTGTCCGTTTTAAAAACTTGGCTATATTAACATCCCTGACACATGATCCACTGACATGCTTATGAGAAGAAACATGCATGCCAATAAATATTTCCAATATATTTACACAGGAATATTCATGTCTAGGGCTTATTTACAGAAGCCGTTTAATGTTTTATCACATGTGGCAAAACATTCAAAGAGCATAAAACCCAGTATACTATGGGATGTATTCAATAAACTCCCAATTTGTAATTAGTTACAACATTTATAGAAAACTAGCTGATTTTAAGAAATTCTCCAACTATAGTCACAACGTGGCTATTTATTTTATCCTAAAGTTTGGAATTCAATTTTTCATTCACTACAGTATAGTGTTTAGTGAATATATCCATATATAACTTTTCAACAATAATGTACTTACAGGATAAAGTAAATACATTAATGCTTAGGAATCATTCAACAATTACTCCTTGTCACATCCCAGCAAACAGACATATTCGTAAAATTTTCCATCAGTCTGAAAATACTCCGTAGTCTATACATGTACCATATACAAGTGAGAAAGGTGTCTGTCCAGCTGTAGATAAACTGCATCTCCTACAATCCGTTCAAGCACGGATAGTCAACCCCTTCTCAACAATTAGTGCATTTCCTGAGCTGCCTCCACTGGTAAGGAACTAGGGTCTGACGTAGTTACAGCCCCGTAAGATATGTCATTAACGTCCTCTTCTTTCAGCTTTTTGTAGGAAATATCTGTGTCCTCCTCTTCATCCAGAGGTTCTGGTTTATGCAGGACTTCTTTCCTGTATAGTTTGTAGACTAAGACATAAATCCCAGCTTCGGCTGCCTGGAATAGTGCATACAGGAGGGGGAACATGTACATGCTGCCAATGAGATGGGCAGGGAAGGCTAGTTTGAGGAGGGCAGTGCAGAGCTGGACATTCTGACATCCTGTTTCCAGAGACACCGTTCTCCTGGAGTTTGGTGGAAGGTTGAATAATGTGGCTAGGCCGTATCCCAACCCATAGCCAATAAGAGGCATGATGAGAGCTACAATGTAGACGGAGGCTGGGATAGTAGCTAGCAGCTCTGGACCAAGCATTGCTCCAGTGAGGATAAAGAGGATGACCAAAGTTACCAGCAGAGACCAAAGGGAAACCTAATGGAAGAAGAAGAAAGCGAAGCGGTTAGCATGATACTGAAGGATGTTACTAGCAGCATTAGATTTAGATTTATTCTTGTTTTGAATATGTTCTCAACAAAATATTCTCAACATGTGTGCTAATTTTATTGAGCTTTTCTAACAACTCACCTAGTCCACCCTCAGCAGGGGTGTTAAACTATCGTATTTTTTTGGGGGGGAAGTCCCATCATTCATTGCTTTTCTCTGGCTCACTAAATGTTCTAGGAGGAGGTGTCGTTGACCTAGATAGTGTTTTGTTCCATTAACTTGATGAACTTCATCAACATGTTGATTTCCACCTGGTCCACTAGCATACAAGGATGGAAGATAGAGCTTCACACTATTCTCCTGCAGATTAAAATATAAGGAGGTTCATGTGGGGTGTTTATTGGCACGGAGCAGCAGATGTGTGGTAGCAGGCAGGATTTAATCAAGGCCTTTGCTAGCAATGGTTGGCTTTAGGCATGGATTAATAGCCTGCAATTGTACTATTCTGCAGGACTAGACTGTCCACTGGGATATTGCTCAGTGAACTGGAACACATGGGGTTGACCAGGTTGTCAGACTGTAATGAGTATGTATGATATCCCTGGAGGAGTTTGGACACTGTATCTGCATAGATCTCTGCGAAAGATCTGTCATATTATGCCGCTCATGATGGTGGGGGTTGCATGGATATATTCTATGTCACACCTTGCAATTCTGGCAGCCTGTATCTGTCAAGTACATGTAATGCATACACTGTGTGTTTAGGACAATCCACACTGAACTCTGTGATTTTTGTATGCAAGACAAGCCCAAGCCAAAAGTTGCCATTTGTCCACTAGCTGTCTAGCAATATGTATGGGTGTTATGTGTCTAGGAAAATGTAGTTGATAAGTCATCCTATGTCTTGCGTTTATAATCTTCTCACATCTCGGTTTGTATAAACTAGCTGACACTGAAAGCAGAAGGATATATAACATGTAATAATATCAAATGATTTAACCAGGGAATTCACATTTAAGCTTTCACGATTTTCTATGTATAGTCTTACCTATTGACTTTTATTAATTCCATTATTTACACATCTATGCCATATTGTCAGAAATAATTTTAATATGCTAAAACATACGACCAAGACTCAATATAAACAAACCATGTCCATGCTGTCAGTATAACAAAGGATTTGTTGTAGACTGTTCTGAAGGAGTTAAATGAATGCATGACTGCGGTGCTCCTGTTTTGAGTTGAATAAGAGTAGAGAGAATATTTATGATGGAATGTTGTAGAAAGCTGTCTGGGTAGACCATTAATCTTGGCTAGTGTGTAACAAACATGTATAAATCTTCCAGCCTACACACGTCAGTTTATGAAATCTATCAATCAAAGAACGCGTTCAGGGATTATTTACTGTTCTTCAAATGCTCCTCTGAATTTCAAAAGTTGGAAATGGTGTTTGAATTTGATCCAAAATTGCAATTTGGGGATTTTGTAAAAGGCACTTTTCATGTACAGTGAAATAGTGATTATGTATAATACACAAGCTTCATTTCTATTTAATTTGATTCTGTTAAAAAAATTAATCTAGAATGTCCAAAGTTTCTTATATTGGGTTAAATTTATTTTTACCTGCTTTTTTATTTTCAAGTTAAAATAATTAATTAATAATATGGTGCTGCTATTGGGTTGCAGACACCATCCCCTGGTTTTCAGTTAAACAATTTTCATGCGCCCATTCATCAGAATTGCATTACAACTACATTCCCACAATAGCTCTATCAACTTCATCCATATGGATGCCATTAATTCTCTGACCGCATCAGCTGACACTCTCTTGAAAACAATTTGATTAGGAATTGGAGTACAACTCCTGAATCCTGACACCATAACCACATAACCACGGTACATAGAGGGTTTTGGTGCTTTAATTAAAAATAACATTGGAGGGTCCATAAGGCTTTATAATAAGCCAAAGGCAGATGTACTTGGAAGATAAGAGGTTAACAAATTGCAAGCATCTTAGTTGCTAAATAAAAGCAGAGAGTGCTATAGTCATGGTCTTCTCCCCATGCAATATACAGGGTACTCCAATTACCAATACAACTTTAATGCATTTGATTTTTGACTTCATTAATATGCTGTATGTTTGTTTAGTTTTTTTGTTTTGTTTTCATTTGCATGCTCAAATCTTTGTAGGTTTTGCTAAAAAATAAAAATGTTTTGTACAATGCTGCATTATAAGCTTACCTTCATAGCCACGGCCCCTAACTCCAGAAAAAGACTTCTTACTGACATGTATGTACACCGCTCAGCTACTGACCACACTGGTTTATGTGAGCTACAATGCAACCTGAATTAGGAGAGGACACCCAGAGAGACCTACAGTAAGGATATCACTACCTGTTTGTAGTTTCTCTGACTGTCTGCAGTCAGGTTGTGTATTAAAATCAGCTCACTCAGTGCTGTTGGGGCTGAGCTGTGTACATATATTTTATAAGTCTTTCTGACATGAGGAGGTATTTCTAGGGAGGCCAGCTTATAGTGCAGCAGGCTGCAAAAAAGTTTAGTGCAAAAACTACAAAAAAAAAACTTGATCAGTTGAATTGGTGCCTGGAATGTCCCAGGGTAAACCAGAGAATTCCATTGTCATTACCACATCCCATGAACGGCTGGAAGTGAGCTAAAATAATAATGCAAGAACCCCACTGTTAATCCCAGTTTATTGGCTGCCCCAATCTTCCTGAGTGGTGACATGAACTGCCTCCAGGAGAATCTATTTATTAGAATAGGAGAATCCATGATGATGGAGGTCAGATCTTCCAACATTCCTGATTTTGGGGTCCTGTCCTGCTATACCAGCTTTGTTCCCTGGTATCCCACTATTGTCATGCATTTATGCTAGGCTGAGCTGCCAAGTCTTCTTTTCAGGCAGGTTTGGCCACATTGAGCAGCCCCATGCCACAAATTGTGTTAATGGCCCACCCCCTATACCCACTAAGAATATTTTAGGCCATGCAATATTTTCCCATAGAAAACCATTGAGAGGCTTGTGCGCATTCACGGCAAAATGTTGCTCTGCGCCAATAAGGTGGTCCAGCCACTAGAGGCAGATTAACCTTGCAAAGCAAATGTTGACGCTCCTGCTATTAAAACAGGGAGCACCCAGACCACTTCCTTGAGACGAAGTGGCATTGGTGCCTATAGGGTCTCTTTAAGGCAACCTATTATTAAAAATGTCCTGCCATATTCAAGACCATTTAAGTGAATTCATTTATTTTGGAACTCCACTTTGCTGTAAATAATTGTTCTGACAAATTTTCTATTAAATTAGAAATAAATAAAGCTTTCAAAATTCTCATCACAAGCGTAGGATCTAAATTCTCTTCACAAAGCCATTAAACTTTCTCTCCTCTGTATTTAGATGACGATCCTTAAAATATTGTGCTGTCTGATCTCAAAAAAATGATTATTGTGCAGAACATATCCTGCCAATTAACCAGAAGGATTTCATGCAAACCCTGCTTCTCTAACTAGTTTGGATTTGTTTAAAGGAACACTCTAAAGCAAGAAGTGCTTTAAGTGGTAACAGACTGTTCCATCTATCTTTCTTTTAAAAAATCCGCACTTTTATGAAGCTTCTTGTTTGCACCTTTCTGGCTGTCAATCACACCATCTAAGAGGGTGCTCTTCTTTCCAGGGTTTGAATACTCTCAAAGTAGAATGCTGTATGAGAAGTATTCTGTTGGAACATTGTGGCGATTGACACCCATGTGCAGTAGAACCTCATGTGCAGCAGAACCTCTTTTCTTTAGTGGGTGTATCAGAGCTTTGGAGAGAAGACCATGTTTTGTTTTGGTTTTTTTTTTTTAAACAGGAATCAGGAGTCTCCTAAATCTAAATGGGCAACTGAAAAACACAGTGTTGGAAATAAATGTATTTAAATTAACCTCCACATAATTTTAATTACGATATTGTAATCTGGCATATTTTGAAGTTGCAAGTACATTTAAAAAGCGCCATTTGTTTTAACAATATTTATTCAGTAATGTTGTAGCTAACCTCATGCACCTAAACGTTTGATGATTCCCAGCTAGCCATATGACTGAGCATCGTGGGTAATGTAGTACAAAACTGCTGCAGTGCTGAAAGTTATATCACAGTCATGGCTAACAATTTGAAATTGGTGCATTGCAGCACTGGAATTTGGATTGCCCTCTTCACAAACGTTGATATCCTACCCCCCTTTTAATGTTTTGAGAAAACATACCTCCACCCCCACTCTTATTGACATCTATAGATGTGGTTTATTTTTACTAACTGAATTAGGAAACCGCATTTAATCATTCCAGGGAAATATTGATCTCCAAATTAATTAGGGTAAGTGCTTTTGTGGGGGGAGCTAGGTGGTAATTTCCCACCCCAACAAAAAACAAATCCAGTAAGAAGCACCTGATGTAATGCAGCAATACTCTGACCTCAGAGGCTCACCATTTACTTCTGAATTCCTTCTGGTATTACTTCAAATGATGATTTATTTATTTTTTTTATTCTATCCAGTCATTTTTTTCCCCACAGTCATTGGAAAAAAAAATTGATCCATCCAGTTATACAATGTGTAACAAAATATTTATAAACAAATTATTTTTAAAAAATTATGTCCTATAAAAATGAATATTGATGAAAGGTGCAGCATGAATATTTTGTTTGTGTGGATAAATATTAGCATTTCAATATTGTTAAAACTCTCATATGATGAAACTGTATTGGAGCGCTGGATGTAGCTCTGATTATTGTTCAGGAATCTCTGACCTATAGAGCACATACCATAGGCGTGCGCACGGGGTGTGCCGGGTATGCCTGGGCACACCCTAATCCCCGCGGCACGCCTATGTATATTGAGACCGTCAGGGGAGATCTCAGGATCTCCCCTGTCGGCTCATGCAGAGCCAGCGCTATCCGAGCACCGGCTCTGCTCTCAGCCTCCCTCCCCACCGACCCACATGCAGGTAGGGAGGCAGGAGAGGACCGGCGGAGCTATTGCCGGCAGCTCCGCCGGGTTCCTCTCGCGAGATATGAGCGTTGCCATGGCAACGCTCAAATCTCGCAAGAATGAACTCTAGCCCTACAGGGGCTAGAGTTCACTCTCCACTGGACCACCAGGGATGGCAGCAGCACGATCCCCCCTCCCTACAAAAGGTAAGAAGGGAGGGGGGATAGCAAGTTATGTACCCCCACACCCACCCACATACAGCACACATACAGCACCCACAGACATACAACACCCACACAGCACACACACCCATACACAGCACACACACCCATACACAGCACACACACCCATACACAGCACCCACACACATACAGCACCCACAGACATACACAGCACCAACAAACACACATCACCCTCACACACAGCACACAAACAGCACCCTCACACACACACAGCACACTAACGGTACCCTCACAAACACAAATAGGACCCTAACAAACACACACACAGCACACTACCAGTACCCTCACACACAAACAGCACCCTCACATACAGTACATTAACAGCACCCTCACAAGCGCGCGCACACACACACAAACAGCACCCTCACACACAGTACATTAACAGCATCCTCACAAGCACGCACACACAAACACCCTCACCCACATAGCACACTACCAGCACTGTCACACACACACATCACACTAACAGCACCCTCACACAGCACACAAACGCACTCAGCAGTGTGTGTGTGTGTGTGTGTGTGTGTGTGTGTATATATATATATATATATATATATACTGCTTGTGCTTTAGGGCACGCCTATGCACATATCAAGCATTGCTGTCAGATAGTGTTTGGAACGGATATGAGGGTCAAGCTAGCACTGTTACCTGGACTGCTTTGGGTAAGTCCTTGGGGTACAGTCTAGAATACTGGGCATCACAATAAATCAAACAATTAAAATGAAAGTCCAACGTGAACTGAGCTATTGATTTATCTTGGCCATTAAGTTGCTGCAGAATTTGAGAATAATCCGTAATAATGTCTATGATTAATAGACATTTGGTTCAGCTGTCAGGCTATCCTTTCTAATGGTGGTGGCCATAATCATGTGGCCGTTCTGTTTAGGATCAATACAAACTAGACGGTTCCCTCATTTTATATCTTATTATAGACAAGCAATGTTTTTGGCTTCTGCAGAAGCCACGGCCGTAGCCATTTGTTGGCTGAGAACATCAGCTGACAGCTCTCAGCCAATGAATGGAAGTCAGTGCAACGAAAGTTGTACAGAATTGACATTAACCAGCTTATAACTCTTGTATTGGCTAGCTGATGACCCCAATGACACTGCCGGAGGTGGAGTTACACCCCTGGCAGCAGAGGAGTTAAACACCACATGTGCAGCATTTTAAATCACTGAAGTGGTTATGGTGCTTGGAGTGATTCTTTAAAAGACACTCAAAGCACCATAATCACCACGGTGCACTGTAGTGGTTCTGGTATCAGGACTGATGTAATCAAATGGTTTGTGAACTGTTTTACAACTTGTCTGGGGTTTGCCAGGTAGTGGATACAGTAGCCTGGCAGTTCAGAGCTTAGCTTATTGGTTAAGATTGTCAGCTGAGCATGGCTGTCCTTAGCTCAGTGGACCTAACGGAAGCTGTTAGTAGGAGATTCTGGTTCCATTGGAGACTGTGCTGGTGGTCCACAAATAGCGAGCGGCAGTGGTTTTGGTTCTTTGTTCCTTTACTTATGTCTAAGGCTAGCTTCTCCTCTAATATTATCCTGACACGTTTCATAACCACTTGGTGCCATATACATAGGGGATTTGCGACGATTCAGTTTTTTTGGGGAATTTTTTTGTTCAAATTTTAAAGATTATAACAACCAACAAGACTGAGTCTTTATGTTTATAAATCATGACTTAAATCAAGTGTTACTGACTGCTACCAGGGTGGATTTGATTTAAATCAACAGACACAAAATGTCTTCCCTGTGATCATGTAACTTTCAATGCCTGAATCTGTCTGTCCAGCTAATTGCATCACCACTCCAAACACGGGAGCATCATTGGAGGAGATTCACAGTTATAACATAGTTGCACTGGTGACATTCAACAGGATATCAAATCACCAATATAAAAAGCATTTGATGTGTGGTGTGTAACCTGCAACCTACTCTTATCTCTGCTTGTTCTTGTTCGTGTCTCAGCCATGGTGCTGCCATTGATACCTCTCTAGAACGTACAGGTAAGCAATACCATCAACATTACAACAATACAGTGTGAGTTTGTGAGACAATGAGCAGTTACACATAGTACAGGGATTTCATGGCTAATGCCACCACAACAATGCTTATTGTAAAACCTAATGATATTATGGATATCCAAAATGGCATTTACAGGGGATCTACAATTAAGCAATATGTTCTCCAGTGTTCCATTAAGTAATACATTACAGTAATAGTTTATACAGCCTTACCTTGAGCAGGATATCTGCAATCCTATTGTAGCGGTATCGTATATAGACTCCCAGACAAATGGGCAGAAGAGTACTACAGAGAGTCAGGCTCACAGCACCTAGTGGCAGTAACTCCACCAATGGGGTGTTAATCCAGGGTCGACTATAGATCCACAAGCAAAGTGGCATAAGCAGCAAAGCTAGCAGTGTGGAGGATGCTGTCATGATGATGCTAGACAGTAGGAGAGAAAAATGATTTTACTCCATGGGACATAGTCTTCAATCTGATAAAATAATTCTATAGAATTAAAAAAAAAAAAAAGTTTGTAAGCTAGATCCAAGTCGGCTTTAGTGGAGAGGAAATGTACACTTGTGGTGTTCGATATTGTTATGATTAACTTTTTTTTTTTAATATAACAGAAAATTACGCATCACTTTATATAGTATTTTAATGGTTTTCCTAGGCCAGTCTGACAGGTGGCATTAGGGGACAGATGATATGAAAGGTAATTAGGTACAGGAAAGAAGTCACAATCTGTATATAAAAGATGACTATGGTCTTTATATATTATTTTTTAGATAAGCCTTTCAAAATAGAAATCTAAAGTTCCCACACTGCAGAAACCAGTTAATGATTTTCTGAACTCTGTGAACATGCTTTGTGCCCTTAAACAAAGCTGGAAATATTTTTTATCTATTTAAAAAAAAAAAAAAACCTGCTGAACAGATTATCATTGATTAACATAAACATATGTACTCTACTGTGATCATTCAAGAATGTGTCATGATGCATCTCTCTAATACACTCTCTTAAAAATTCAATAACAATATTGCAAATAGTACCAGATTATTTTGCATAGACTATGTTCTGATGAAAGAACCACTTTTAAGATTTCGGGGAGAAATTGGAGATTTAATAAAAAAGGAACTCCTGGCCAATAATCTAGTTAATTACTGACTCATAGTGACTCGTAAAATGTTAGTGAACCATTACTTTACAATTACTTGGTAATGAAGTCTTACTTTACAAGCAGCCAGTAATGGACATCACTGTTTCACAGTATGCTACACTTGTGGTTTTTTTTTTTTTGGTTTTTTTTGCAGTAAGTGTAATTAACATGTAATAATTGCAGTTACAGCATGCTTCTAGGGTTGATATGTTACTTTGGGGCCTCAGTGGCACCAGCATGACGAGTTTTTGTACCTACATGATTTAAATTTTGATAACTAGTTTTTATTATCATGCAGATAAGGGTAAAAAAAGACAGATAAATGTAACTCGGAGAATCTTGGTGAACATTATTGCCCTCCATTTAAAAGCATCAAGTATTTTCAACCATGTGGTTGCAAGCCTGATTTAGCCCATTAAGTCTTCCGCTTATTAGTTCCACTCATTACTTTTGTTTGTTTGCAAATCTGTTATCAATTGCAGTGGTCTTGAAAGGACACTGTAGGCACTATAACTTTTTCATCTCATTGAAGTGGTAATAGTGTCTGGAGTCCCCCGGGACCATCCTTCCATTCAGCGTTCATGCTAAATGAAAGTACTCAGCAGTCCATTCCCTCTGTTAAGTTTGGGGTAATGAGGAAGTGTTAGCCTGACAAGCAACGGGTGGCTGTGATTGGCTGAGAGTGTCTCCCTGAACAGCCCTTTAAAAATGACAAACTGGTGGTCTGTGGTTCTTGCACTCTGTAAAGGAGATGAAGTGCAGGTGCTGAGATTTCCAACCTATGTACGACCTCACAAAGTGCCAGACCAAAAAGCCTGTGGCTGCACTGGAAGCCCAAATTTATTTTTGCATCCTTCCTGCCTTGGAGGTAAACGGAGGGGAGGGAGGTGTGGGGGGCGCAAATGTTCTATTAAAAAAAACAAAAAACAGACATTGCAATGTGGGTGGCTGTGTTTAACCCCTTAAGGACACATGACCATGCCATGATTCCCTTTTATTCCAGAAGTTTGGTCCTTAAGGGGTTAATATAACCTCCCTACAGAATGTCACTCACTCCCCACACACACCTAACCCTCAGACATTGTCATAAATTCACTCACCACCCCTCACCTTCACTCTATCACAATCACCCTCCAACATTGTCACACGCACCATCCCTTTCAACCTGCCAGACTAACCCTGTTATACTCACCGCTAAATCCATTCATACTCACCGTCCATCACTCTTACTCACCCCCTTTCTCTGTCACACTCTTCCCCCCCAAACCTGTCACCAACCGCCCAAATCCTGTCACACCCTAGCCTGTCCTCATGTCCCACTTATACCCACTCACCCTGCTTACTTTCTGCTCTCCTACTCATTTTATCACGGTCTCCCCCTGAAAATAGTCATCATACACAGTCCCCTCAAACATATGAAACACAGCGTGACTATGAACACAACACACAAAAACCACAAGAAGCCCCCCCATACCCAAAACACATATGCTCCCTGACATACACATGCACACTAACACAGAGACACAGGAATGATCAGGCACATCCCCCCCACCATACAGCTCTCTGCCTTCTCATAGCACACAGTCACTACACATACTCTTAAACACCACTCACAGAATCAGAGTCCAGGGCTCAAGGAGGGAGCCCCAATCTGTGAACCTTAATCTGGCTCTGGGACCACTGAGCAGGAGCCGGTCTTTTAGCCCTGCTGCCAGCAAGAGGCAAGACTGCCTTGTGTTAGACCTGGCAGCGTGAGGTTTGCTCCTCCAGTGGGTGCAGACCTTAGTAATGGTGCCCTTGTGGTGTGGCACTCTGTAGTGCAGCCGCTGGATGGGAAGAAGGTGGAACCAGAGGTGTAATAATGTTTTTTTTATATATATATATATATATATATATATATATATATATATATATATATATATATATATATATATATATATATATATATATATATATAAAAAAAAATTTTAAACTTGAACTCTGCAGTAGAAGCAATGGGTTTGGATGCTGGGGAATTCTCCAGTTCTCATCAATCGGCATCCACTGCCTCCTGGCACCATAACAAACATATCAAGATATGATACAGATTCCAGCACTGAATGCATTAAAAGGACACTATAGTCACCAGAACAACTACAGCTTATTGAATTTATTCTGGTAAGTAGAATCATTCCCTTCAGGCTTTTTGCTGTAAACACTGTCTTTTCAGAGAAAATGCAGTGTTCACATTACAGCCTAGTGATAACTTCACTGGCCACTATTAAAGGACCACTATAGTGTCAGGAAAACATACCTGTTTCCTGGCACTATAGTACCCTGAGGGTGCCCCCACCCTCAGGGATCCCCTCCCGCCAGGCTCTGGGGAGAGGAAGGGGTTACACTTACCTCTTTCTCCAGCGCCGGGCAGGGAGCTCTCCTCCTCCTCTCCGCCTCCTCTCATCCTCTTTGGCTGAATGCGCATGCGCGGCAGGAGCTGCACGCGCATTCAACCAGTCTCATAGGAAAGCATTCATAATGCTTTCCTATGGACGCTTGCATCTTCTCACTGTGATTTTTCACAGTGAGAAGCACGCAAACGCCTCTAGCGGCTGTCAATGAGACAGCCACTAGAGGCTGGATTAACCTATTTATAAACATAGCCGTTTCTCTGAAACTGCTATGTTTATAAAAATAAAATAAAAGGTTTAACCCTATCTGGACCAGGCACCCAGACCACTTCATTAAGCTGAAGTGGTCTGGGGGCCTATAGTGGTCCTTTAAAGATTGCTGTTAGAGATACTTCCTGGGTCATGGCTGCCTAACATGCATCTAAACATTCAGTAACTCCTCCTTCTGCATGCAGACACTGAACTTTCCTCATAGAGATTCATTGATTCAATTCATCTCTATGAGGAGATGCTTATTGGCCAGGGCTGTGTTTGAATCATGCTGCCCCTGATCTGCCTCTTTGTCAGTCTCAGCCAATCCTATGGAATAGCATTGTGATTGGATCAGGCCACCACTTCTGATGATGTCAGCAGACTGCTTGTTTTTCTGAGACAAACAGCATGCAGAGTTACAGCTTCAGTCTTGAATACAGTAAGATTTTGCTATATTTATGGAGGCATGGGGGCTAGATGGTGGTTTTAACACTATAGGGTCAGGAATGCATGTTTGTGTTCCTGACCCTATAGTGAACATTTAAATATCCTTTATGTTCTCAGCACAGAATCTGGTTATAAGTAGCCAGACACCTGCTCCAATGTTAGAAGTGAACCTGTGGATATTGCAGTGGAAAGCAAAAAAAAAAAACAAACAACCCTTTACATCTCTTCTCTTTGAAAGGGGCGACTTGCCATAAGGTGTGGTTGGGACATGATGTAGAATACCTGGCACTGTTGGTCTTTAATCATAGCTTAACCTTAATATTGGAAGATGGATACATTTGAGAATAAAACAAAGTAATTAGTCAGGCTCAGTTTGTATAAATCTGAATTATTAGTTGTATAATATGCATAGTTTTAAATATGCTATCCCCCCCCCCCAAAAAAAAAAGACTGTTCTAAAGATTCATGAACATCCCCCATGCTTCCCTGTTTCCTCATATTTTCTGTTGAATTTCTATCCTTATTTGCAGCTCTCTGTTTATGGGCAACTTGCCTATTATCTCCGTGTACACGTAATGTGATCACTGCAATATCCAAATCATGGCATATCGCCTGTACCTATTTCCAAATCTAGATTGTTTTATCTCTGCAGTACATTCTCCAGTTTCCTAGGCAGTAACAGTTTTTATTCTGAATTTTAGCTGATCTAATGGGATGCAGGTTGATATCCGTTGTGTTCTTGTTAGAGTAATTTATTTAATCTGTGTAAACCGGGGACTCCCATAGCACAGGGGATGAATACTTGTACAAGTGATATGCTTTAAGGGTGGGGGTTCAATTAATTATAAATTAAATTCTGTCTCAGAATATTTGATTTTGAGCTTCAAGAAATTAAATATAAACTATTGTACAGAATAATAATTCACAACGTACCTTTTGTTACTCATCGGTATGATAAAAATGGTCAGGGGTCTGAACGGTTTTTTACGTAATTATAAAATCAACATTTATTTTGGTGTCTTAATAAGGCAGCTGATCCAGGATGAAGAATATTCATCTGCTGCAGATCTATATTAAGCGGCAGAATTTGTTGGTGCCTTATAAAGATTAATAGTATTAACATGAGATTTCTTTTGGCATTTATATGAAAGATGTGTGACCTAGTTGTATGTCAATGGATATTTGTTTAATATAATATATAGAGCCACGTTTGGATATGGCTCTATTTCTAGTAAATATGTACAGATCTGGTATGTACCTGAACTGTGTCAGTTATCCTTCATTGCCAGTTCCTACTTAGTACACTTTGCAGAGAGAGGACTGTTGACACACTGACATAATGTAGTTTATTACCTACACATACACAAAACACATCCAGTAGCAGCTTGACAGAGCACAACGCATGGAATAATCTGTATTTTCCATTTCTGTGTCTACAGAGTGTTTTGTTTGTTCAGTCTATGAAGAATGAACTGACTGTGTTTATACCTTTCATCTAACTTGTGTTTTTTACTATGTTTTATCTAGGCGATCTCTGGCACTACTACAGTAATGGACTGCAACTGTCATGATGCTCAGCCAAAAGACTCATTGGACTCCTAGTTCATTTCTGTGGAAGTACAACAACTGATTGCCTGTTCGTGGGTGTGATTGTGAGTGCCCTATCCTTTCCTATCACTGAGAGGTATTTTTTTTGAGAAAATATGTAAAACAGTGTGATTATAGCCTTCTTCCGTATAAACAACCTTAATAAAATGGTATAGACACTAAGACTAGTCTGTTTTAGCGCAACTGTCATAGGATGGGTGCTACAGATGGCTACAAAAAATACATTTATTATAGAGAATGTTTCTCTGTCCAATATTTTGGAGAAGTCCACTTGATATTTCAATGCATCTAGTATTGTGTTCACATTGTTTTTATTGTGAGGGGGTAACAAAAAACAAAAGAGGGGGGTAAAAAGGGTTAGAACATCCATCCAAATGTTCATGATATTGACAAAGGTTTATCACACTGAGGTGTGGATTATAATATATATATATATATAATTGTATTAGTTCCCACTTTCTGAAATGGTATTGCTTGCCTTGACTTTCCTGTGTGTGTATGTGTTATTGGAGATAATATAAAGTAAAAGAAAAGTGAAAAATGTGATCTTGTCAGATTAATTGTTGTGTTTTGCATAGAATGACTAAATATCCCTATTTTAAGAAAGTCAATTCTCTGACTGTGTCCTCTGTTCATGAATAATGTTTGCCGCAAGTCCCTGGTCGAGGCTTAAGAAGAATATATATCTTTAAAAGTGATTTGAAATGGCATTGCACACCGTCCCTATCATTATAAATATGTCCTTTAGATAAACTCCATTACTGGAACTTGTGAAATATCTAAACATTTAATTAAAACTAATTTTTTAAAATGTTTTTATGTTGTTATTATATTCGGCCAGTTTAATTTTTATATCAAAATACTCTGGATTTTATTTTAAAAACTGGGCACCTTAGTGTTTTGTGGAATAAACATAATACATTTAATAAAACCGAATATCCCATTGTAGTGTGACAAAGGGCAGGAGAAATGTTAATATTTCTTTCCTTGGCAAAGTAAGCTGTTGCACATTTACAATGTGGAAACAATTCTCAGATTCAGCTTTTTATTTTTTTTTTATTTTTTATTTTTTTTGGATCATAAAAATCTGCAGTGCATGTGAGAGAGAGAGAGAGAGAGAGAGAGAGAGAGAGAGAGAGAGAGAGTGTGTGTGTGTCACACATGTAAGAGATACTGAGGTGAAAATAGACCGTTATTAATCTATCCATATAGTATAGTCACTGCATATGACATAAAGCTGTATAAATGTTACAAATATTCTATTTAACTCATTCCTTTGACACACTAACATCATTTATGTTACTTTTACCTTGCAGTGTTCCTTACTACTTTAAAGTTTATGTATTGTAAGGTTGACTTTAATACATATAGCATTATTTGTCAAGTCATTACTAGGATAATTATGTTGGCAAAAGCAAGAATTTGAACATTTATCAAGAGTTGGTGGTATGGTACCTGAGGTTCATATCGCCATTCACCAGAAGCGACATGATATTGGAAAGGTTTCCTCCAGGACAGCAGCCACACAGCAGCACAGCAACTGCTGCCACTTCATTCAGAGAGAAGATCAAAGCCAAGAGGAAAGCCACCATTGGCATTAGGACAAACTGGCTGATAGCTGCCAGAAGAACCCCAATAGGTCTCCTTAGCTGCTCCCCTATCTGGGAGACTTCCACCGTGCAGCCTAGACCGAGCATGGTGACACACAGAGCCACCCCAACAAAAACACTAAGACCATGGTTCAGCGGGGTGTCCCAGAAAGGAGCAGGGGTGGCAAGTTGCTGGGACATGGACCCCTGCAACATTAAGGTGATGCTGTTGAGATCCGTCCAGACATCTCCAGGAGAACTACTATCATCCATTCTTGTTGTTGCTTGTGTTACGCTTTCGTTTGAGTTCCATTGTAGATACTCAGTTTCGTTATCCATAGAAGTTGAGTTTTCCATCCCACTGATGTGTTGGTGTCTGTGTATTGTATCCACTTGTTGTGAATGGACTGCTAGTGACGGGGAGGAGGAAGGACAGGCTGCTCCTATCTCATCCTCAAGCAACAGTCAGGCAGTAATCAGGCAGACAGAGGCTGCAATGAACGTCTATCACATCTCATGCAGCCTTCATCTGCCTCACCCTCCTTACCACACCCCCACAGCATTAGGCAGACAGCATTTTCTACTGGGCTACATTATCAGAAAAAATTGCTTCAATACACCAGGGATAGCTTTACAAGGCTTTAAACAGGCAGGGTTATTCATTAAACCAAGAATTTAGGGGAACTGACATAGGATATTGCAAATTTTAGTTAAGCTGTAAAATCAGCTAATTTGGAGATTGATTTATTTTTTTTAACAATTTTTTTAAATTGTCCAAAAGTTACTGTTTTGCGAAAGGACTTTAATATTAAAATCGTGTAGTTTAATCAATACCCAGGGGAGAAAACCCTTTGAATCCTCTATATACAGATAGAGGGCTGAACATCGATATGGGTTCTTAGCACATTACTCTAGTGTTACATGTTTCTCTTCCTTGTTTATCTACTCTATATCTTATGTTATTTAATAAGTGTGGACATGCTTTGCGTAGATATGAATTTGTGGAGCTACATCCAAGATGTATATGTTCTCACATTTCATTGATTATTGCCTTTATCAAAAATATTCTGCTTATTGATAAGTGGACATTGGTCATAGAAACTTCACATTATTTACAAAAAACTCCGGCTCAGGCAGCAGCGGCCTTACTTGTATCAGTCATGTTTTAGAGGAGATAGTTTGTGAATTAATTTAAAATTCCCTAATTGTTTGTTTTTTTTCCCCCTCAAAGGAGCACTCTCATCAGCTAATTCAAATTGTTATCTACGCAGCAGTGTCTGTGTGCTGTCTTACCTTCAGGAGGTACATTTTTTTTTCCCCCCAATAATTTAACCACCAAATTGTTGGCCCAGTGCCCAATGGCACTGCACCCTGCTTTCTTGCTCTGTGCAAGCCACACTATGAGGAAGGATTTGCAAGACAGCCAGTGATAGGCTTGACGTTCTCAGTTTACCACTGGCCACCCATTGAGAGAAATAGTATGTACCAGGCTACTGTGTAAGATATTGGTATCTATACACCGGTAGTAACTATTTTATAATACATGGAAATGTGATCTATATAGCTGTGCATTAACTTATACAAATTGACACTATAGTATAAAGTACAGAAGGCTACAGAAGGCTAAGCATCTAGATCTCATCTCTTTAACTTCAATGTATAATAAGAAATCGTAAAGTCACTTTTTGTCCGTGGATTGTTTATTAATATTACATTGCTCTTCTATATGCTGTGTCAGTCTAGACTTACTCTTGACTATATACAAACAAAGCGTATCCAGGTCATCATTGTGTAGGATTGGCCCTGAGCCATAGCTTGTACCTCCCCTGGCACCTTGGCAGCAGAGGGGGAAGAGGGAACACTGGGTAATACTAGCAGGATGTTCTGTAACTGGGTTTATTGGGCGGTTATGTTAAAGCATGCTACCATTTAGTTACATTACTGGCATGAACCTACAGTCTATAACCCAGATCATATGTATTCTAATTCACCTCTACATATGGACCTGTACTGGTGGAAAAATCAAACTGCAGAGTCATTTCTGTTATGTACAACTGCAGATTTAAATTCTCTAGAAATCTGCAGGTAAATTATTTTACACATTAAAGGACCACTATAGTGCCAGGATCCCACTCCCGCATGGCTGAATGGAGAGGAAGGAGGTTAAAAACTCACCTTTCTCCAGCACCGGGCTCCCTCGGCGCTGGGGACTCGCCTCCTCCTTTGGCCGTCATCGGCTGCATGCGCGGCAAGAGCAGCGCATGCAGTCAGTCCAAAGGAAAGCATTCTCAGTGCTTTCCTATCGACACAGGCGTCTTCTCACTGTGAAAATCACAGTCAGAAGCGCCTCTAGTGGCTGTCAATGAGACAGCCACTAGAGGCTGGATTAACCCATATGTAAACATAGCAGTTTCTCTGAAACTGCTATGTTTACAGCAGGCAGGGTTAATCCTAGATGGACCTGACACCCAGACCACTTCATTAAGCTGAAGTGGTCTGGGTACCTATAGTGGTCCTTAAGAATTGCTTATCCTTATGTATGTTTCCTAGCCTGATGATGAATCTCCTTTCCCATATCATACTCTCTGCAGGGCTGGGCAATAAAAGTGTCATTCCCAATCATTCATTCAGAATAGTACAATTGTTCCAGATCTTGTTTTCAACAGCTGTCAACTCCCTTTTTAACATAGTATAATATTTTGTATCTAGATGATCTACTGACTTTTCTGGGTATGTTGAAAGTGAGTAATACTTAAGAGACAACGCTTTGGGTGCCAGGGGAGCTGAGTTAGGAAGAAGATTAAAGGGACACTATAGTCACCTGAACAACTTTAGCTTAATGAAGCAGTTTTGGTGTATAGAACATGCCCCTGCAGCCTCACTGCTCGATCCTCTGCCATTTAGGAGTTAAATCCCTTTGTTTATGAACCCTAGTCACACCTCCCTGCATGTGACTTGCACAGCCTTCCATAAACACTTCCTGTAAAGAGAGCCCTATTTAGGCTTTCTTCATTGCAAGTTCTGTTTAATTAAGATTGTCTTATCCCCTGCTTTGTTAATAGCTTGCTAGACCCTGCAAGAGCCTCCTGTATGTGATTAAAGTTCAATTTAGAGATTGATATACAATTATTTAAGGTAAATTACATCTGTTTGAAAGTGAAACCAGTTTTTTTTTTTTTTTTTTTTTAGTTGTTGTTTTTTTTATTTTTTATTTTTTATGCAGGCTCTGTCAATCATAGCCAGGGGAGGCTGCATAAACAGAAACAAAGTGATTTAACTACTAAATGGCAGTGAAATTGCAGGGGAATGATCTATACACTAAAACTGCTTTATTTAGCTAAAGTAATTTAGGTGACTATAGTGTTCCTTTAATTTGGTTGCCATTCTAGGCCTATCAAGTACAGTGTGCCCCTTCAGTCTATACAGATCTATTGTACCATTCTTAACAGTGTGACCATTACATTGTTTGGAGTTTTTGTATAATACAAATATATATATATATATATTTATATATATATATATATATATAATTATTTTTTTTTATTTTTTTTTTCAAGTGATTTGCTCATTTGAGTAGGAAACTAATTCTAGTCTCACATCTAATGTTAGCTTTCCAAATAATAAAACAATATTTTATTTTTATTACCTAAACAGGTTATTTATATAGCTCTTTAAAATGATGTTAAATTTTTCACTGTTTGTTGCTTGATTTATAGCAATGTTACACTTGCTATTATTAATCTAATCACTTTTACTTTGCCCATTGTTATGCAATTGGACTAGACTCACAAATGGACCCATTAAGTACATGCAGGTTGCTCACTGAAGATATGGATAAGGATTCTTTATTGGACTTTTTAAATAAAAAATACATGAAGAGGAAATGTTTTGCCACGATACTGAACCTGCATGATATTGCATACATATATAATATAATTTTGGTATATAGACTGATATATACAAATACTTAAAAATTAACATTACTTAAATTTATAGAACATTTACTTTTTGTAGCCTTATATGAATTGGAGATTTGAAAGAGAAATTTATTTTTGTTTTTCAAATCTGTTTTTAGTTGGAATAACAAGAAAACAAAGTCAAAAAAGACTTTCACAGTATCACATTCATTATAAATATAGAGAATTCAGTATATGTAAAATACAATACAAATTTAGTATATGTAAAATACAACAACAGCATTTAGATTCATAAAGATTAAAAGGGTATTTAGGATAAATGAGACGGGCAAAAAAATAAAGAACAAAATAATTCTTGCTCATCCAGACGTATAGATGTGTGTGTGTGTGTGTGTTCTGTGTGAGGGTGGTGAGTGGTGTATGCATGTGGGAGAGTGTTTTGTAGGGGGAACCTGTAAGAGGGGGAGTGGCAAGCTAAATGTGTCTGTGTGGTGGATGAATTATGTGTGTGGAGGGAAGTTTGAGTTTTCTATATGTGGTATCTGAGTTTTGAGTAAGATTGTTCCTTTAAGATATTATGCCAACATGGAATGTCCTGCTTATTTCATTGTTAACTCCATGCAACCTGGTATTTGTTAATTTAATGTTTTATTCCATTTTAGAATAGAATTTTCAAAGAGCAGTTTGTTATTATTGCATAGACTATCAATTATCATTAACCCCTTAAAGGACCACTATAGTGCCAGGAAAACCTACTCGTTTTCCTGGCACTATAGTGCCTTGAGGGTGCCCCTACCCTCAGGGTCCCCCTCCCGCCCGGCTCTGGAAGGGGGAAAGGGGTTAAAACTTACCTTTTTCCAGCACTGGGCGGGGAGCTCTCCTCCTCCAATCCTCCTCTTCTCCCCGTCGGCTGAATGCGCACGCGTGGCAAGAGCTGCGCACGCATTCAGCCGGTCACATAGGAAAGCATTATCAATGCTTTCCTATGGACGCTTGCGTGCTCTCACTGTGATTTTCACAGTGAGAATCACGCAAGCGCCTCTAGCGGCTGTCAATGAGACAGCCGCTAGAGGAAATAAGGGAAGGCTTAACCCATTGACAAACATAGCAGCAGTTTCTCTCTGAAACTGCTATGTTTATGAAAAAATGGGTTAACCCTAGCTGGACCAGGCACCCAGACCACCTCATTAAGCTGAAGTGGTCTGGGTGCCTAGAGTGGTCCTTTAAGGACACATGACGGAAATATTCCGTCACGATTCCTTTTTATTCCAGAAGTTGTGTCCTTAAGGGGTTAATAGAATAAAATAGCACAAATTCTCATCTTTGACATTACAGTGGCACTGTTATAATTGGACTGTGTTTATTTTGTTGAATAAGTCTTTTATGTATAGATAGTTCTTTTTGGGTCAAAGGCTCGCCACATTAATATACGTCTATATT